TATTAAGTATAAAAAAACAAATTAATTAATAATGGGTAGTGCTGCACCGTTAAGTCCGGATGAGAAAAAAGTGCTCTCTAACTTATCAAAGATGGGTCACTCCCTTAGTTACATGGCTAGAGCTAATGGACACAGCCGAACTGTGATCAAAAATTACTAATTAATAGTTAATTAATAGTCCTCATATGTATGGAATAAAAAAAAGTCCCAGACATCCATCAACATTAAGTGACCGTGATAGGAGAATGTTGTTGAGACAAGCTTCAAATTCTTCATTAACTGCACGTCAAATTGCTGCAGAAGCAGGTGTGAATGCTAATTTACATACAGTTAAGCGAGTTATTCATAGTACTTTCACATAAACAATCGAATAACTTTTGCAAAGGACCACGTAACATGGAAAGAAGAGTGGCAACAAGTAAAATTTTCTGATGAAAAACGATTTTGTCTTGATGGGCCAGATATATAGAATTATTATTTTCACGATTTGCGTAAAGAACCAGTAACACAGCAACAACGTCAAATGGGTGGTGGTGGTGTAATGATTTGGTGTGCGATTGGGTATCATGGTAAATCAAAAATTCATTTTATTGATGGAAAAATGAAGACTAAGGATTATCTCTTAATTGTTCAAGAATTTTTAAGACATGAAGGATCTGTCATAGGTGGTGAAAACTTTGATAATGCTACCATTCATTCAGCTAAGATAGTAAAGGAATATTTCAACAGCAGTAACATTGAAACATTGAAGAGGCCAGCTAGATCTCCTGACCTAAACATTATTGAGAATGCATGGGCACGGCTGTCACATATAGTTTTTGAAGGTGGTAAACAATATAGTTCACTCGCATCCATTGAAATCATCCATTGCAACTTTTTTATGAACAAAATGTTGATTGCATGGGATGCAATCGACATTTTGTTCATAAAAAAGTTGTATGATTCTTTACCTTAAAGAATGATTGAAGTGATTCAAAAAAATGGGAAAAGTAGCCACTATTGGTTGTTTAAAATTGAGATGTCTTTTTATATATATGATAATTTATATGAATTATTTCCACAAGTGTCTTATAATTTTGTTGCACTAAAAAAACACTTTTTTAACAAAATGCAAATTAGGAATAAAATAAATTTTTTAAATGTTGTTTAGTCTTGTAATCTTTTTGCTCTCATTTACTATAAAAATTAGTTTTTAAATATAAATGTATAGTAGGGTTTTATAAATAATTTTGGGATGTCTTATGTCGTGCAGTGTAGTGTTTTAAAATAAATATTTTTAATCATTGCATGCTTTGAATAGTAAGTCAAGTTAAAAATAACAACTTATAAACAATTCTTTGTAAAATTAGAAACAAAACAAAAAAAGCAATTAAATCTTACTTACAATTAAATAAACTGAGGCAAGTGCTCAACCACTGCGCCACGGCTGCTAGCTCAACACTGCGCCGCAACTGCTAGTTTTCTATGACTAATTAAAGTGGTTTAAATATTCTAATGTTTGCTTTTTACTCTTAGTTTTTTACTTTTACTTTTTTAAGTATCATGTTAAGTAAAAACAATTACTAAAAGCAATATCTTAATAGTATTTAATACATTACTTGCTCATTAAACTGTAACTGCAATTTAAGTCAGATAGCAAGGCAAATACTGGAGATATAGACTATGGTTCTACATTGAAGTTGGGGATAGAAAGCGGTACTTCCCTAACCAGAAAGATGTGAATTATTTAATTAGGGACCTCGGGCTTACAAAATTAAATGCTGAGCTTCTGATATCCAGGCTCAAACAGTGGAACTTGGTTGATAATAGCATACAAGTCAGGGTTCAGAGGAAGTAGCAGCAAAGATTCTTTAACTTCATCGGTCAACATGATGGGCTGTGCTTCTGCAACTGTGTTGCCTATTCCAGGCTATAGGTATAGAATGTAATCCAATTGAATGGCGCCTATTCATAGACAGTTTATCCCAGAGCCTCAAAGCCATGTTGCTTCACAATGGAAACAACTACCAGTCTCTCCTAATGGCCCACTCTGTGCATCTCAAAAAGGACTACACCAGTGTCAAAATGTTGCTGAATGCATTAAAGTATGACAACTGCAGATGGGAGGTCATTGATGAATCCAAAATGGTATCATTCCTTATGAGTCTTCAAGGAGGTTTCACTAAATTTCCTTGTTTTCTCTGTCTCTGGGACATCCATGACACTAAGGTGCATTATCGTACAAAGGACTGGCCACAACCGACTGAGTTTTCTGTTGGGAAGAGCAATGTGAAGTGTGAGCCGCTAATAGAACCTGATTAAGTGCTTATACCACCGCTGCACACCAAGTTAGGCCTCATTAAGCAATTTGTCACTGCTCTTGACAAGGAGTCAGCAACATTTCAATTCCTCCAAGATTTTTTTCCAAAGCTTACTTTAACTTTGTAGAGTTAGTGCAGACTCTCATAAAGAACTATGCTAAATTGGGATGCAGAATATCCTGAAAGTCCATATCCTTGATTCTCATCTTGACAAATTCAAGGAGAACATGGGCACTTACTCCAAGGAGCAAGACAAGTGTTTTCATCATCATTGGAGTTTGGATGTTGTTACCAAGGACAGTATAACGAAAAAATGATGGGGTACTACATTTGGGAGCTTCTTTAAGAGAGTGATTCACAGAACAATTCACAGAACATAGTAAATCTAGAAAATGTAAATATTTCTGAACTTTGTTGAGTGGTTTGCAACTGTGTTTGTCTATTTCTTGTACAACTTCTGTTTTTACCTGATCATAATGAAAATGAAAAAAAATCATTTTATTTTCAGAAAAAACAAGTTTTGTTTGTGTTATTATTGTGTAAGAAAAGTTTGTGCTTAATGAAGTCAATTTTTCACATACTTTAGACATAAGCAATTGAAATATAGCGTTTAGAAGCCAGGAACAAAAATTGTGTTATATAGTGTAATTTAAATAAAATGTGTTTATCATAAAGTTTATAATATAAACAACTGTTTGAAGTAATTTGTTATTATTCAGAAGACTTTTGCATAGTATATAAAAAAACATAATTAAGTTATTTTAAAATATTGAAGTTATTTATCATAAAAAATAAATACTTTTTTAATAAAAAATATTTATTATTTTAATAATTATACTATATTATTTGATAATTCAAATAAAATTTTTAATAAAGCAATTAACATTGATCAAAAGTAATTTGTTAATTTATTAAAAAGAGTTTCGTGTAATATAAAATCGTTAGAAGAAATCAAAGTTTCAAAGTTATTCCGAATGTAAGCAATAAACATTGTAAATTTTGATTTTGATTTTAATTTTTTTTACTTAATTTTATTGTTTTATATTTTTAGTTTATTATGTTATTTTTCTTTAGCAAACAGCAGTGGTCAATTTGTCTTAATAAAGTATTTTATGTGTGGACAGACAAGGAGTGTGACTTGCACCTCGTCTGTTCACGCACAAAATATTTTTTGGTTGAATAAAATATTTACAGGCTGTTACAGACACAAACCCTTCCTGTAACAGCTTGTATTACAGTTCATAAAAATTTCAATAATAAAAAATAAAAAATAAAAAAAAAATATACCAGTAGCAATGATAAAACCAGGAGCAGATTTTTTTGAATAAGGAGGTGTAAATCGTGTAAAGGGATTATGAAAAGCAAACTCTTGTGAGATGTGGAGAGAGCAACCATCCTGTACAAAATGTCCAAGAGTAGAATAAAAATTCTTTTAATATATTTTCAGGGGCTATTCTAGACCATTTTTGACAGTGTCGACCGTATTTGGGCGCCGCCCAAATTAAATTTTGAGGGCCTTCTTTTTTTTTTAACGTTTTTTTTTAATGTTTTTACGGCAAATATTGCGAAAAAACCGCTGATCTTCAGCTAAAGTCTGCTGAAAGGGGGGGGGGAGGGTAAATTTTTTTTCCTAGAATAGGCCCTGATTTTAAATAGCAACTTTGAATATTGTTGTTATTTTTTTATTTGTATGTTTGTTGTTTTTTTTGTTTGTTTTTTTGAATGTCTTGTGATAAACCCTAACTTTTTCTTAAATAATAATAATGAAATAAATACCGTAGGACATTTTTCCAAATTACTTGGAGCCTTAATAAGTGACCACTCTCCACCCTTATCAAATGTTATATATGACTGAAGATGCCTTTGTCCAACTTCTTCACCAACTAACTTAGTAACAATGTAAATTCCAGAAATCCCTTCCAGTCTGTACAATTCCACAAAGTCATGCTCAAGATAGCTAAGAGAAAACACATACTCAACAGTTTTAAGAAATTACATATTCAAAACAAAATAGTAGCCAAAAATTAACTTTTTCAAAAAACTATTAAAACAGATCTCTGAGAAATATTATTTTGTTATAAGGAATTTTGTTAATAAAACTTATTGAAAAGCCAACTTACTTTTTAAATAAAATTGATTTTATTTTTATATAAAAAAAACCTTTTCATTGCTTTTGATACAATTAAATACAAAACATGTCATAAACTATTGAAAGAATCAAAATGTACTTTTAAATAGCTCTTTGCTATATGCATAAACCAGTAATCATAAGAGCTCTTTTATTAATTTATGCAGAGAATATTCAAGATTCTTAAATATTCTATAAGACTTTATTAAGGAAACTATTTAAGATTCTTAAATATTTGTAAATTTAAAATAGAAACTAATTGGATCTAATGAACTCTCTTAAAAAACAAAAAAAAATAAGTTCGAGTAACACTGATTAATTTTATAATTTTAAAAATTTTAGTAAAAATAAAATTATAACTGTTTGTAAAATGTGTTTCCAACTAAAATATAAAAAAATAATAAACAATAATCAATTAAATTAAATATTAATAATAATAAACAATCTAATAAAGATGTAAGTAAACATTAAATTAGTTCAAAACAAAAATTAAAACCAAGTTCATCTGTATTACTAAATAAAAAGATTGAACATTGGAATTTGGTCAGAACAAAACCCAGGATAATCAATTTCTAAAAAAAGTCCTCTATATCCTGAATTTTCTAAAAAGAAAAATTTTAGAAAAAAAGTGGGAGGGAAGGGAGGCACATGCCCCACCTCCCCCTGGTTTTTTTGATTAAAAATAAATAATGAATGCATACCGAGAAAAACTTGCTGTATTAGCCGAAGCTTGCCTTTTCTATTTTATTCAAAAACAGAGTCTTTAAATTATATGTCGCAATCTACAGACTTCAGCAATTCTTTTGAAGCGTGATTAATTCATAAAAGTTTTAGTATTTGACGTCACGGTTGACTTTTGACAAATAAAACTCTGGAAAAATTTTTATTCATTATTTGTTTTATTATTTGTTTAATTATTTATTTTCTACTTTTAATATTCAAAAAGATATTAAAAACCATAAATATTTTATGCTATAAATTGTTATTGCTTTATATTCGGTAGTGCATAGTTAATGCGGTAGTGGTATAGTGGTAAAACACTTGCTTCATAAGCGAAAGGTTCCGAGTTCGATCCCCACCACGTCCCTAGTACCGCGCTCAACTTGTTTCTCCGCGCAGCGCCTTGTTCGTCAAGGTTCGTGTTTCATAGTTATAGAGTTGAGAGAGAGTTTTAACCACTATTAAGTAGCCTCCTCGTCTGTAGTGGCCTTCTCGGCCTTGAGGAGGTGAATAACAAATAAAAAAAATAAAAAAATTCAACCCTCGAAATTAGGAAAAATGAGGTCGGCAATAATTTGCCGAACTCATTTTTCAAAAAAAATTTGATACAAAGTCATACAATAAAACATAGAAACGAGATTGGCAATTTTTCGCCGACTTCAAACACTTTAAGGTCAGCAGTTAGGTCAACATTGCCGAATGCCGACCCTAAATCTGATGGTTGGTTATAGTTTATGTTAATAAATGATAAATATTTATTATCTCAATCAAGATTCTGATAAAAAATTGTTTTATATTAATTAATTAGTAACAGCTTTTTTATTTAGTTAGACAATATTTCATCTGAATTTGCTTTGCATGAAGTTTGGGAAGTCAAACAAAAAAACTTAGTTTGAATAATTGTGTCAAAATATATTTAAAACAAATGATTTTAATGACGGGGGTTTAAAAGTCTTTTTGTAACAAATGTAGGTAGAAAATAACAAAATAAACATTTTAATATTAAATATCTTTTTTTTATGTAATAAAACTGTAAATATTGAAATATTAACTTGAACTAAATTTACTTATTATTTAAAACAACTAGGCAATAAATAAAAAGCCCTTAAAATTATGCGATATTGATTATGTTTATTTCTAATTTAATTTTATCTCTGAGTTTAATTCTATGTTAAGAAAGAAAAGTTTTTATTTCGAAGCGCGCTCTTTTTATAAAAGTTCTTTTTTTTTTGTTCTTTTTATAAAAGCTTTATAAGAATTTTTTTTTATAAAAATTCTTATAAAGCTCTTTTTATAAAAAAGTAGAACAAAAGAGAAAGAAAAGTTTCACTTAATTAAACTTTGAATGACTAAGAATTGTATAGATTTTTCTTGTTTGCACCACTCGATCTTTTGTTAGTTTGATAATTCAAATAAAATTTTTAATGAAGCAATTAACATTGATCAAAAGTAATTTGTTAATTTATTAAAAAGAGTTTCGTGTAATATAAAATCGTTAGAAGAAGTCAGAGTTTCACGTAATTAAACTTTGAATGACTAAGAATTGTATAGAATTTTTTCTTTTTTTCACCACTCGATGTTTTGTTAGATGAGAGAAATAAAAGTTTAATCGTAACTTTTCTTTGAATAAATGGGAATTGGAAAAGAAAATTGCTTGAAAACTTGCATTTGTCAATTTTATTAGTTTTTTAATTTTCCATGTTAAGAGACAAATGCCAAATACGAAACATTAATTGGGAAATACCAAATATAATATGTTTTTTAACGCGGGTTACAACATTTTGACAATTTAAATTATCATCTATCTTGAATTATCCATATGATAGATGAAACTTCGTGCGCAGTATGATAGATAAGAAAATGATCAGAGAAATCTGTAATAAAAATACCTGATTCAAAATAAGTATCTAAAATATTATTACTTAAAATATTACCAATTGCGGACGAAGTAGTTTTTATAATACGCGTAGATTTAAAAATGGTAGGTATTATGTTAAATTCAAGTAATAAATTAAAATTTTTTTTGTATTTACAAATTTTTCATAACACATTGCATCCAAGTTTAAATCAACAGCAAAAAAAATTATGCTTACTCTGAATACTCATTTGCAAGATAATTGTTCTAAGGCTATTATGAAAGTTAATTTGCTTACCGCATGGCGGTCGATAAAGCGAGGAGATTAAAGAAGGCTAACCAGTTTTATTTAGAAGTTCTATACACAAAGTTTCAATATGTTTGTTTGCTTTACAAAAAGTTTTTTTTATAATTAATTGAATTATAATTAATGTTAATTATTGTGTTAAATAATAATAATTTGTCTATATTTTTATTAAAAGTTAATTGTATAAAACGAGCAAAAATATATGTACTTCATGTTTTCAATTTGATGGTTATAAAATATTAAACAGTAAACTATAATCAAAATTTATAATGCTGACTTGTGCTGTTGGTTGTACTAGGAATGCAAAACCAGGATCTCACAAATCCCTTCACGAATTTTCATATCTGATACTACTGTCAACTGTATTGTTTAGTTATACTCTTGTACTTTTTTTCATTTTCATACAGGTTCTAATTTGTATGGAGTTGCCAACATTTTAAAAGTTTCGTTATCAAAAATCAAATGCAAAATATATTTCCTTTTTATTCATATCCAATTTAGCAAATTTAGCAATTTAAATTAATTCAGCGTAATCAAAAATTTCTTATAATAAAAATATTTAACAGTTCATCAAATATCTCTAAATAGTTGTTAATGAAAGTAATTGTTAATAAATACTTTTTTTTGATGGGAAAACATAAAATATCAGAGCATAAAAATGACCAGAAGTTAGAAATTAGTTCCTATTGTTTAAATAAAAGTTAGTAAGATTCAGAATATATAATACTGCACTCTCTTGTACAAAAATGAGAGACCGCATATATGACATTCTATATAATGTAAAATACTTGTATGAAAATTATAAGATTGGTAAATGTTTTAATATTTGTTTTAATTTAAAAACAAAAGAAATATAAGTAAGATATATAAATCTTGAAATTATTAAGATATCTGTAAAAAATAAGCTCCTATAAAATAAAAATAATTTATCATTTTTACTTCTTACATAAATTTTTTTGCAATGTTAGGAAAAATAATAAAAATAAATTTGTTTTGCTGTATTTTAAAAACATACTACAACGTACTTTTTGAATTAAAGTAGAAAAACGTAGAATTACACTTTTTATTTGTTAAAAATCTACCGTGACATCAAATACTAAAATTTTTATGAATTAAATGCACTTCAAAGGAATTGCCGAAGTATGTAGATTGCGACGTATAATTTAAAGACTCTGGGTTTTTGAAGAAAATGGAGAAGGCGAGCTTCGACTAAAAAAACAACATTAGTTTTTCTCAGTATGCATTCATTATTTATTTTTAATCAGAAAAACTTGGTTCAAACCTTTTTTTTCAACATTATATATATTTTAATATGAACACAACATGTGTGGGGAGTTTGAGATCCCTTTAAATAAACTCTTTTAAAAAAATTTACCTTTTTTTACCATCATCATCATTATAATATACTATATTTGTCATTGACAAACTAAATTTAGTTCCATCTCTACCAGAAATGTATAAATTTGCTGAATTTCCATGTGATATAGCAACCATAGTTTCGTTCTCGGATGCATCTGCAATAATATAGCTCTAAAATAATTTTTAATTTTTTAATCAACATTTTTTTTTATCATAAATTTTTATAGTATTATTCATGATATAAATATAAGAAACAAAACTTACAGACGCATTCTGAATGGGAAAAGATGCATTTTGGAAACCACCTCTATTGACTGACACCTGCATTATTTTATGCATTGAGTCTGTTCCCTAAAAAATACTTAAAATTTAACTTACAAAAAATTTCAGCTGAGAAGTTTTGATCAAAAAAAAGAATAATAATTAAAAAAAAAAAATGACATACATTTTTTACAACAAACATGTATTGATCAATTAGTTTAAATTCAACAACATTAGATATAACAACAGTGGAATAATAACCCCAAATGCGAGATTTTAGAACCACGCCACCACTATCTAAATACATAATGTAAAACAAAAATATAGAATAAAGTTGAGAGACAAACAACTAAACATCCTGACATAAAAGAGGTACCATCCATAAGGGCACTTATACCACATAGCCTAAATATGAGAAATATTCAAACTCATTACCCACCTTGTTAACCCCCACACCATTTACTTTAAATAAATAATTCTATTTTTCAATTGTCAAGGGTTAAATGCATCAAGGGTAGAATGTGCCTAACAGTTGATATGACAGGTGCAATCAATTATAAGACATTTCTTAAGAAAAAGAAAGACATGATGGTTTGCCTCTTGCCAGACACCATTGAGTATATAAAACAAAAGATACTTAAAGGCAAAAAAAATTTTAAAGCTTGCTAATGCATGGATAAAAGTAATTTTAATGTTGCAAGTTAACCAAAAAATTCTTTAACTATTAGAGTGCAATATAGTTTAATATAAAAACTATAAACTTATGCAATAGTGCTTTTGAAAAAACTTTTAAATGATATAAGTTGGGTTATTTAGATTGGTTTTTGTTTTATTTAAATTTGGTAAATATGTACTGCCATTTTTTAAAAAAAAAATTATTTTTAATTTAAGTAGCGTTCAAACCCACTTTGCCCTGGAACTTGTTTCTCTGAGAAGCAACTTCACTATGGTTCAAGCTTCAAAAAGCTGAAAGAGAGTGAATCAACTCTCAAAAAATAATAAAAACAATAACAACAAATTAGTTTATTGGACCTTTGAAGTGAACATCATATTAAAAATAAAAGAATTTAACTATTTTTATTTTTACATTTTTGATGTAATTTTTGAATAACGTTTTTTTTTTAATGATTTTATTACACTGTGGAATAGTATTTAACCAGGAAGTTCTTATCTCCTTCTTAAACAATGATGCATATATTGCCAGAGCCAACCTCGAACCACAAACATTCAGTTCTGAAGCCAGATCTTTAACCACTACACCATGGCTGCTAAATACAAGCTGAAATCCTTCTAAACTTTTGCAGGAACTAAAACAAAATTTACTATATCTACTCTATTATTTTAAATACAAGCTTAAATCTTACTTTTGCAAACAGTATAATAGAATATACTATATTATTTGAATATTCATTATTAAGAACTTTGTCAATAAAATTTTTTTTTTTAATTTTTCTAATGATATTTAACCTTTTAACTGCAATCAACAAATATTCCCTATTTTCAAATCATTAAAATGAAGTAATCCCAACTTAAAAATAAAGTAATCCAGACGTGGCTTTCTTTAACATGGATTTAAATTTAACATAAAAAGTAAATTGTGTCTCTGAACCCACCTAATTACTTTATCATGCTAGTTATGATGGTTACAAAAAAAGAGTGAATCAAGAATTTTTACCTTTTAAGTTTTTTCATAATTTTAAATTTGCTAAAGTATGAGCTTAACATTAAAATCAAACCTTAACTTTAAATATTAGTTGATTAAATATTAGAATAAAAAAAATATAGCTATTTAAAACCCATATAGTTTAGTCCACACATATAGTTTAGTCCATTAAAAAACGATTTCTGTATGAAAATATGGAAAAGTTTAATTAAATTGGAAAACTATAAATAGCATAAAATGAATATATATATATATATATATATATATATATATATATATACATATATATATATATACATATATATATATATACATATATATATATATATATATATATATATATATATATATATATATATATATATATATAATATATATATATATATATATATATATATATATATATATATATATATATATATATATATATATATATATATATATATATATATATATATATACACACAGTGGTGTACAGTTGGATTTTAATCGGACGCCCGCAGGGTGATTGCAACTGACATTTAGCTAATGTGAGTTGCTCGCCAATGTTTTAAGTTGTCCGTCACCATTTTAAAAAAATGTTTTGCATTCTGCATAAATCTTGTACAATTAAGTCAATTTTGCATACAATCCTATGGGTTAACTAGAAAACATTTTGGCAAACCAAAATAAATATTGAAAACTAAAAACTATAGATAGAATTTACTCTTCTGATCTTAGAAGAAAATTTAAGAAAAAAAAGCACACTTCCCTATAAATGTCTCAATTACTTTAAAATTTAAGAAAAAAAAGCACACTTCCCTATAAATGTCTCAATTACTTTAAAAGCTTCTTTTACAAATAATTAAAAAGAAAAAGTCTTTATAAAAATAAAAAAGAAGTTCACAAAAATAATTATGATTTTAAGGCAATAAAACAAAAAAGGAAATTTAAAAAATATCATTATTAACATATATCTCTATCATAATTATATCATATTATTAGTATTAATAATCCATTCTCTTTGAATTATGCTCTAAATTATGCTCTATGCTCTTAATTATGCTATCATTGCTCTTTGAAAAAGTTTTGATTCGTTTTAACTTTTTAACTGAGATGACGAGAGATTTCTTATTGGGGAACCAAGACTTCTACCTCACATGGTTTGTAATGCTTGATTTAATTGTCCGCGACACTTTTAATAGCTAGTTTTCAATGGCTGATTGTTGGATTGTATGATTCCACTTTTTTTGCCATCAAATCTTGATACACAATTGTATTGTTATTAATTTATTACAGACTCTTTTTAATGTTTCTCATTTGGCATAACAAAAAGCCAATCAGTGAATTAATTTTCGTTCAAGATATCATAGAATATTTCTAAAATATCTACTTGTTTTATTAAATACTGTATATAGTATATAGTATATAGTATACACTATATACTATACACCACAGTATATAGTATACAGTATACACTATATACTATACACTATAGTATACACTATATACTATACACTATAGTATATATAATATACACTATATGTAAAATAAACATTAGAATTTAATAATTAACCGAATCACTATGATTAAAATCTTTGTGAAAAAAAATTTGCTAAATTATGTGCACAAAATTTAGTTTCTTTTAAGTAGATTTTAATAAATGATTAAACTTCAAACTTTTCTGCACAAAATTTAGTTTGTTCTTTTAAGTAAATTTAGTTTGTTCTTTTAAGTAAATTTAGTTTGTTCTTTTAAGTAAATTTAGTTTGTTCTTTTAAGTAAATTTTAATGAATGATTTAACTTTGTTAAACATTAATGTTTAACTTTGTTAAACAGTGATGATTAATAAGATAAAGATAAGAATAGTATTAAGGTTATATATAGTATAAATATACTTGTATTAAATATATAAACTTACTAAATAATAAAATCTCTAAATAAAATCTTCTTTCTTTTTAAATTCTATCAAAGTACGAAAAAAATTATGCAACATTGAGAGCAATATTGAGAAAAACATCGAGAGAGCAATATTTGTTCTTTTAAAGTAAATTTTAACTAACAACTTGAACATTTTACTTTCATTATAAAATGAATGAATAAAATGAATGAATAAGAAATCATTAAAGAAATTATTTTTGTAAAAAAAAAACAGAAAATATATGATTTAAAATTTTTTATATAATTTATAATAAAAATATGAAACCAATAAAAATGAAATGTTTTTTTACAAACTTATTTTATTATTTTTCTCTAAATGCATAAAAACTTTCTGAAATAATTTAACATAAACTAGTATTTTAATTTTTAATGGTTTAAACATTTTAATTTTGTTCTAACTAATAATAGAATAAACAAAAAACAAACTCTAACACCAAAACTTTTTTTTTTTTATTTTAATTCACCTCCTCAAGGCCGAGAAGGCCACTACAGACGAGGAGGCTACTTATTTGTGGCTATAACCCTCTCTCAACTCTATAACTCCGAAACACGAACCTTGACGAACAAGGCCGCTGCGCGGAGAAACGAGTTAAGCGCGGTACTACCAGGGACGTGGTGGGGATCGAACTCCGAACCACTCGTTTATGAAGCAAGCGCTCTACCACTACACCACTACCGCATTAAAACTTGCCAAATGTTAATGCATTATTATGTTTTGAAAAATTTAAATAAGGATGTTAAAATTTTTCTATTTATAGAATTATTGAATAATTAGAAAGAAAAATATATATATTTTAAAACATATGTGAAAAGTACAAGCATAAATTAAAAATTACAGAAAAATAAGTCTTACCATAATATCTTTCCTTAAGATAATAAATATATGTATCCATGTCATAAGGTGGAGCATAACTCCTAATAAATTGATATATTGAAATCATAAGAAGAAATTATTTTTTGTTACAAGAAATTATAACAAAAAAAATGTTATGAACTGCTATAAAAAAGATTAAAAATAATTTTGGGTTTAAGTAGGGTGGTCCAAAAAACAACACTTTTGAAAAAAATCTGCTTCACAACCCTAAATGTGTTCTATATAATACAAAAAAACGGTATACAATTTTTTTGAATAAAAAATATTTTTAGGAGTAGCCCCTTTACCTAACCTTAACCCTTAAACATTTGACGGGTCCCTAACATTTTGAAAAAAGTTCTTTTAAAATATGTCAACCTGGTACTCAAAAGAAGCGAAATTATATTAAAAATTTAAAAAAATTAATAATTTTTATATAAAAACAATTTTTTCATACACCATTGCAAAACTTTTTTGGACCACCCTAGTTTTAAGGTTATTGATAACATTACAAATCTAATAAACATAATGATAATCATGTCTAATAAACATGATGATAATCATGTTGTTTACTAGATTTGTAATTTTGTACATTTTCATGTTAGTACAATATGAAATTAAAATTGAGTAGATATTTAAAATACATAAAAATCCACTTTCATTATATTTATAATTTTAATTCGATCAAACCTAATTATATTTACATCAAAAAAAACATAATTACATAATTACATACAAAATTAACATGAATTACATAAATTACATAAATAATTTCTCAATGTTTTCAAACACAGTAACACAGTAGTTTTCTCAACATAAATTTTAAAACTTAAAGTAATATATAATTATGATAACATTTATATGAAAAAATTATTCAATTATTCAAGTTATTATATAAAAAGATATAGCAAAGAAAAAAGAAAGAACAAACCAGTAATAATCAACAACTCTGGAAGATTTATATGACCAGCTTTTTCCATTATTAGATGATGAGTACAACTAAAATAAAAAAATTATTTAAAGTATTTTACTAAACTTATGTTTTCCTATATATATATATATATATATATATATATATATATATATATATATATATATATATATATATATATATATATATATATATATATATATATATATATATATATATATATATACACATGCATATATATATATACATGCATATATATATATATATATATATATATACATATATATATAAAATATATATATATGTATATATATATAATCACGTGGGCATGCGTAGTATAAGTTTTAATATGTCCGAAGGAAAACTACGTGGAAAAATAATCACGTGGGCATGTGTAGTATAAGTTTTAATATGTCCGAAGGAAAACTACGCATGCTCACGTGATTATTTTTCCCTTTCCTATCCTGTTCCCGTGAAAAAACGGATGAGTGGAAACTCACCTTAAAATAAACGCGATTTTCCAGGCGCATTATACAGACTTGATAATTTATTCAAGCGTGTTTAATTCATAGGAGTTTTAGTGCATGACGTCATAGATTTTTTTTTGTTTGTTTAAAATACAGATTGTTATTTTTTACATACAATTTCCAAATCATATTCATTTTTATTATATTTTAAAGTTCTAAAATGTGTTTGTAAAACAAAATTAAAAACAAAATAAAATTAAAAACAAAATAAAATTAAAAACAAAAATAAAATAAAAAACAAAATAGTATTTTATTTGCGCAACTTTTTTTAAATAATTGTCTAGACCACGTGTATTTTGATTTCTTTTGTTATAAGTTTTTCTTTCAAAATATTAGATAAAATAATTTTTAACCTAAATAATAATGCACTTTTATTAATTTACTTTGTAAATATTTAAAAAAAAATTATTAACGCATTTTTTCTCTGATTTTCAAAAATGTATTTTTTGGTATTGAAGTGATCTTATTTCATTATTTATATTTCCATTATAACATCCAATATATATTATAACGGGGGCTTAAAAATTAAAAAATTAATATATATTAATTTTTATTTTACAGACATACACGGAAACATAATTAACTTGAATTTTCTTAAAACATCTTGCGGAAGAATAAAAAGAATATTCGCTAACACTAAAAACCTGCCAAATTTGCAAACAAACTAATTCTACTGGTTCAAAAAACACGCTGACTAAGCGAAATAAAGTTCTAGAGTATTCTGTTGAAATGTTTTAGGAATTGTATTATTTACGATTTGTTGCATTTTGAGATATCTAGCATAAATTTTTTTAAGAATATATTATCAAATGAACTATTACTTTAATATTAAGGTTTATTCTCGGAGCCACATCTGTAAAGCCGAAAAACTTTTAAACTATTATCATTTGATTACAAAAATAAATGTTTTATAATATATATTTTTTAAATTGTCAAAATTTTGAAAGTTAATTACAAATTATATATTTTATTAGTATATTCTTAATTTTAATCTTTTCTTAGTGCTTGGTTTAATTAATTGTTCGTTAGATTTGTAAAAAACTAATGAACAATTAATAAAATAAACTTTTAACAAAATAAGTAACCATAGTTAGCTATTTGAGTAAAATTTAATAGTAAAATTTTTAAAGAATTTCTGGAATGTTTCCAATGACATCATGCTCTAAAACTTCTATGAATTAAACGCACTTGAATAAATTATCAAGTCTGTATAATGCGCCTGGAAAATCGCATTTATTTTACATACTCAAAATACCAGAGAAAACAGAGAAGACGAGCTTTGACTAAAACAACAAGATTTGTTTTTCTTGGTATATATTTATTAATTAGTTTTAATCAAAAAAAATTTGCTCAGACGTATTTTTTTAACATTCTCTTTAATATGAACACAACATGTCTCGGGACTTGGTAGTCCCTTTAAATATGCAAAGTATTATATGTCAATGTCATTAAATGAATCAAATTAAAATTTTTTGCATATCTTTGTTTAAAAGAAGTCATCAAAGCTTATTAAAGTTCTTTTTTTAAAGTAAATAGTAAATAAATTAAATAAAGTAAATATGGGTAAAAAGGCAGATTTGAGTGATTTTGTTAAAAGTCAAGTCATAACTTTGCATGGTGAAGGGTACTCACAAGTTGACATTAGTAAACGTCTAGAAATATCGAGATGCGCTGTACAAAACCTTATAAAATTGCATGGAAGTTGTCAATTTTGCGCATACGCTCCAATTTTAGCGCCAAAAACATATTTATATGGCGTTCATGTAACTATTTTTATCAATAATAAAAACGGCAAGAAAACAAGTTTGTTATAGTAATATAGTATAATAATGTCTTAAATATATTAAATATATATAATAATATATTAAAGATAAAATATTATTTTTTAAACATTATATAAAAAAATTAATCAGATTTTATTATCTGAAAACAAACTTTCTTGCTCAGAAACATTTTCGAAGAGGTTAGTTTCATTATTTTGGTCTTCCTCACTACTATCATCACTTAACGTACTTATTATTTTTTTTTTCTAAATTTTTTTTACTCTTTGCAGCATTGTTGTGTTGGACGATGACATTTGTGTAATTCCCATTTTTCAATTGCAGACATTACATTATACATTTCTACAGGTGGACCAAGTTCGCCTATTCTTAATAAATGTTCTAATCGTTGAGTAGACAAGGAGCATCTAAAGTCAGTTTTAACCACATTCAACTTTGAAAACATTCTTTCTAGTTTAGAGTTGCACACGAGGATGGTAAAAAGTTGTTTAACTAATGCCAAAACATCTTTCCAGCTCTTACACCGCGGAGAAGAGAATATTTTTTTGTTTGTGTTGATATTGAAAGATACTCACGAGCATACTCTAAAAGAGAGTACCATTGACTTAAGACATCTGACACTTCAATATTTGCTTGCTTTCAGCTTCTTTCAGCTTCTTCTTCTAAGTGAACTTTAATGCAACTTTTTACGTTTATAAAATTATTTTTTTTTGGATTTAACAAAATTAATTGACCTGTCATAATTTTTCAGCTCGATATCTTGAAAATAATATTTTCCCTCCTTACAAGTAACTTTCGAAATCAAGTATTTTACATGTGGGAGTTTTTCAAATTCTTTTTTTTAAAATAAATCCAAGCGATCTTTTGTTTTTGACAGGAAATACATTGTATTAA